TGAATGTCAGAATTATTTTTCTTTATGCTCTCCTGATGTCACGTCTGTTTTTCCACCTGTGCATCACCAACAATGTTTGCATAAACTTGCAAAAGGTTTCAGTAAAAAAATTATATTAATTAAATACAAAATTATAAAATCCACTTAAAAGTTCTCAAAATGTGTTTCAAAGTTCCCTAAGTGTTTATTTTCAGTAAAAAAAAAAGAAAAAGCTGTAAATCATTAATTAAATACAAAATTCTGACTTTTTTCTCATAAACTGAAACTGATACTAAAAATCAAAAAATCTGTTTTTTTATTTTTTTCACTGGCCATAATCGTCTTCCGTAAATTTATTTGGACTCTTTTATAGAAATACCTGTTATGAAAATAGATGAAAACAGCAAATATTTTAAAATTCTTTATTCATAAACTTGATGCAAGTTTACAAATTACTGTACATGGTCAAAATATCTTCAAATGGAAACTGAAAAAACAAAAAAACAAATGGGGTGAGCTAAAAGCAATGACTAATTATTTCCTTTGTTGGTAAAAGATTTAAACAACTGAGTTAAACGGATGTTTTCCAACAGACAGTCCAAGCGGAGAAGAATGATGATGTCATCACTTCATGGAGGTCAACTTCAGCTCTTCAATATCTGGCCTTTTTTTTTTAGAGATATTCTTTCAGATTAATAAAGTTCTTACAGCAAAGATCGTTAGTAAAGGAGGAAAAGATTTTGGGTGTAAATAGTTAAATATTTGGGCTGCTCAGTGGGGCAGTGGGTTAGATTCCCGGCCGGGGGTCGTTTGCATGTTCTCCCTGCATGTCATAAAGCCTCCCACAGTCCAAAAACACGACTGTTAGGTTAATTGGCGTCTCTACATCCTCCTTAGTGTGAGTGAAAGGATGTTTGCGATGGAGATGGACACCAGCACCCCTTGTGGGATTATAAATGGATAGTTTGTGCCAGAAATGCAAGAAAAGCTTCCAACAAATGTAACAGAGCATGGAGGGAAAAATATGCGTTTCTTTCCTGAACTGAAAATATTAAGTTAACTTGTTCCTAGAGTGCATCTTCAAAAACATCCTTGCCAGATATGCAAACGATATGGAAACTTTTCATTACTCACTGAAGCTAGGAGTAAATAAAGTCAATATTAAAAAGGTAATTCTGCAGAATTCCCTCTACTTCTGTTTGGGTCCTCAGCTTTCATTGCCTAAATCCGACAAAAATAAAGTATTTCTAAAATCCTGGTTGTTTCGAATGACATCTTACTTGATAAGGAGGGCAAACATTAGTCCATTTAAAACCCAGATAACTCAACACAAACATGCATGAACCTCCTTATAGGAATCACTGGTTACCTGAGTTGCTTTGAAGACATACTTTTGCAGACGGTTCGAACAAATAACCTGCAAAAGAACCATCAGATCGACAGATACAGTGTGCGTCCTGTGCTAAGGGGATGGACACCTGTGGCGTTTTGCATCATTAGGATCAAAATGTTGGTGTTTTAATGTCAGTCTTCCTTCTCCGTCACAACGTAGTTTCCTTTATGACTCCAAAAACAAACGTCGTAGGCATTTAGCTACAGAGACTGGAGAATAAGATCAGCCAAGATCCAGAAAGGCTGTGATTGATTGATTGATTGATCGACAAGGTGTGGCTATTAAACAGAAGCTAAGGATGTTCCTACACAGGCAGTGATTAAGAATCAGACCAGAGGCCAAAGATCGGGGGAAAAAATCGGTAAAGGAGGAGATAGTTGGGCTGCTTTTGTCATTTCAAAGTAGTTTTCTACAATTGTCTAAAGTCTACTCAAAGAAATGTAGTTTAATAACTCCAATAACTAGAATGTAGGTGGCTTAGAGGCTCAATTAAGAGTTAAAATTGTATAAAATGTAATAGTATAAACTGAGATCAGAACCAAAATAAAAGTGGATGGACTGCCAGTCTAAATTTAAAGACACAATATGAAATTAAATGACATTAGACATCAGATTGAATCACTTTAATGACCATTTTTAGCTTTAATTCATAAAAATGATGAACCTACAACAAATGATAAAGTCAGACACTAAGGTTTGTTTACAGGGGAGGATGTAGGTGGGGAGTAAATGGAAATATGTAGGTACAAAAATCAGGCTGCAGAGCGGCTGAAGGGGCACATAGATCTAAAGTCCTTTATTTCTGCTAAAAGTGGTCCGATTGGTATGAAGGTCAGAGCCGAAAGGAGGAAAAATAAAAATAAAAACATCTTGGAAATGTAATTAGTCTGACAGTTGGAGAGAGGGAAGCGAAATGGAAATATTCAGACTGAACCACGTGAACGGACCTGTCTAATAGCCACACTTTGTCTGTTTGTTTATACAGCTCAGAGGAAGGGACCGCTGTCAGATGTGACACATGCTGTTAACTTTGAGCAGAAAGGACTTCGTTTGGGCATCAAACCTTCACAGCAAAAAAAAAAAAAAACAGTCTGCCAGCAACACTAAAAATAAGGCAAAACCAGCCCTTCAGATTTAAAAATAAAACCTGTCAGAACGAAACTTCTCCTCACATCTGAGCTTTCCTTTCACCACTGGCTGATCAGCTGATCTTTATTTCAACAACAGTAAAACCTTTTTGATTCTTCATTTCATGAATTTTGAAGAGAAAAAAAAAGCTGAGGGACGCAGAGAAGCTTCTCGGGTTTAAGATATGCTTCCAACATTTGCCATATAACATCTAGGCTGTTCAAATAACAAAAAAATAAGTCAAATAATGTCTAAAACAATATATGTATTTATGTACCTGTTAATCTCCAGAAGAAAAAAAAAATCAAATCACAGTCAATTTAAAAACTGGTGCAATGAGGTGCGACTTCAAGAGCTTCGGTTTTGATCTTTAAAAAACAAAAAAACGGCGTTTAGACAGAGGGTCACTCACTGTGGGGTCCACTTCGCTAAAGCAGCTAAAGAAAATTATTTCCCCACATCTAAAGGGGGGGGAGAAATCTTTGTTTCCTCCTTTTTTTTCCCCCCAAAAACAAGATGGTTTAGAAATGTTCCTCTCAGATTCTCCTCACCGAAACAATTAGGGAGGAGAATAAAAAATAAAAATAAAGACCTAAGTTGAGTCTTTTCCAGAGCTTGGCCAGAGAATACTTGTCAGATGAGGCAGCGAGATGGTTTCTATGAGAAAGATGATAAATTCCCAGTAAGTCAGAGCGGGAAAATATTCTGAAGAAAACAAGATGACCCAAAGACGTGTTCCCAGTGCATAGCGGGGGGGCCGCTCCTTATCCATCCTCTTTAGGGGGTGTGTACCAGCCTGCAACCAGAGCAAAATTAGCACGTTTCACAAAAGTTCATCCAAATTTTTACTACTTTTAAACATCTACATACCGTTCTTTTCGTGAATCTGCACGAGGGATTTGTACGACTGTTGTGCTCTGGCAAGATTGTACTGGTTCTAAAACACAAATGATAATCGCGTTAGAAACAGAAAAAACAATCCACTGGACTTTGTTTCCAAGTTTGAAGACGTTTCTCTTCTCATCCAGGAAGATTTTTCAATTTAAATGTCAGAAATAGATACCAAACAGGAAATATCTGAGTTAACTGCGACACACACGCTGATGACCGGGTTACTGAGCATAAACCAGGCTTCAAATAGTCACTCAGTCCCCACTGACTCGCTNAACGCCACGACCACGGTGTGTTCCGCCTTAAAGGTGCAGTAGGAGATTTTTTCTGACGCATTTTTTTAACCTTGCGGCTTAAAGATTTCCCCACAGTCGCTTAGCAAGCAGTGAATAGAAGGTCTGGAAGTGAAACTAAAATAAACGCTCCCCGCTACAGTGAGAAATCGATGAATAACACCAACCAATGACAAAAGACGGTCCGTTGTCCGCTATTAGATCCTGACATGTCAATCATGGTCGTCTGCTTGTCCCTCCCCCCTGTGCGCGTACCCTGACACATGAATCGACCCAATGGTCGTGCAGGATGCCATGGCTGGAAGCTAGCTACCGTTATGCTACGTTCACACCTAAACCAGCAAGAGCAGCAGAAATGCTTGTGCTGCTTCATTTTTGATGCTTGTACCAGTTTAGCTCTGATGCACGGCTGAAGCATCTTTGCTGCTCTAGCTGTGCGGTGGAAAAAGTGCGTCTGATGCGTGTTGGGCGGAGCTACCCTATCCTTTCTTTGCCTGGAACAATGGCAGCTATATTTGCTGTGATCAGCGGGTAAAAAGTAGTTTAAATATATGTTGAAGTGAGAAAGTCCTCCTGAAAACTTAATCTGTGCAGTCAGTTCATCCAGATTACCATCCTGCCTTCAATGATTATTTCTGTCGGAGCCGCTCAGACCCCCGTACACCAGCAGTGCGCTCTCACTAGGAATCCCAACAGCAGCCTCTGGCCGGGTCGCCTCCTCGCGGTGCGGCGGCTGGAAGGTGTTTTTCATCTAAATAATCCAAACTGCAGGCAGCAGGATAATAAAAGCAAACATATTCTGCCAGCAGATTTCGACATTTTAAGTTAATTTAGGCGTTAATAAACAGTTTCAGAGGAGTGATCATAGCACCAGCAGTACTGTGTCTGTCTCCCTGCCAGCTCCCAGATCAGCTTTTCTGATTGGTTGATGCGGCGCGTCCAGCAGCTAATTTTTCCAACTCCAGCAGCTGCTGCGTTTGCAGCGCGTTCCGTGCATCAAATGCTTAGCAGCTCACGATGCACTGCGGAACATTTTGCTGCGCCTTGATGCGTGTCAACCATTGACTTTCATGTAAACCAGCTGCTCCTGCTGCTTTAGGTGTGAACGTAGCATTACCTAGCGCAGAAGTAAGCGAGTAAACCGAGTATTCAAGCTAACAGTATTTGTTGTAGTGGTACGTGGAAAAGGCTCGTTTAGGCTTTCCAAACAATCTTAAAGGAACATCTGGAAGAAAAGGCTGCTTAGGACAGCAGTGTTTGTCGCCAAGATCATTTGGTAACTGCTGTGCTTTAGTAGAGCTGCTGGGGTTAAGCTAACTGACCCAGATGACAGCCCCCCATGATCCGATGTTGAACTAGCTGGGTTTGCCGAGCTGATTCCAGGTGTTTCCAGGTCAGCATTTGTTGCTACTGGCTCTGCTTCCAATGCTTGCCGGGTGTTGGCAGAGGTCATGGGATAATAAACTGTTTCAGAGGAGTGATCATAGCGCTCTGCATCAGCAGTGCTGTGTCTGACTCCCTGCCAGCTCCCAGATCAGCGATGCGCTGCAGACAGCGTGCGTGTTCATGCGTTTTGAAGGCGTGGTTCGAGGCGTGGTCTGAAGGGAGAGGCATGGTTGTTTATGTTCAAAAATAAAGCTTGCTGGATTCGTTTTTCTAAAATCTATAGCACCTTTAACAGCAGTTCTATTAGCAGTTTTCGCAGCACTTTTCTAAACTTTTAAACTCTTCTGCTTTCCTTGAAATTTGCTCACTTAAGTTCTCTAAAAAACCTCGGAGGACACGATACCTTATTGGCTCCAAACTGGACTCTGGCTTTGCCTTTAACCAGAGTTGCATTTATCTGCATAATGACAGATTCTATTGAGTAGGCACTGCTCCAGCCCTGTAAACACAACATGGACACAAACTTATCAATCCAGCTTCCTACTACAGATAAATCTCCCAAACACTGAGTGGGACTCGGTACACGTACCTGTTTTGTGAGAAGTTCCATGCACAATGCTCCTCCTCCAAGGACATAACTAGAAAACAAACATCATTGATAATATTCATTAAGATTTTTTTTTAAGAATCTGTAGTTAATAGCATAAATAAAGCAACAGTAAAGGTTTGAGCTTCAGAAGTATGGAAAGCAGTGCTGTTTGATGAAGGATCAAGGTGATGAAGATCACATCACACTTACCCCCCAGAGAGCACAGGAGACACAACCCGTACAAAAGGAGGGTCAAAAGGAAAATTATCCTGTTGATGCCATAAAAAAAACAAGAAAAACAAACAAAAATGTCAGTTTTGTAAAAAAAAAGAAAAAGAAAAAAAAGTGAATTTTCCCAAAGAACAAAATATAAAGCTTTGACTCACTTTATAAGAGAAATTGAGCAGAATGAAATCCATTCCTTCCTTTTCTTTTAAAACCTGCAAGTCGCTATGCAATGGACTATCGGGATCTACCCTGAAAAGAAACCAGAGTTAGATCCAACAGATAAGACTGGAACTTTGGTGGCCAGAAGTAGAACTTACTTCCTTAACTTGACGTGCCATTCATAAAGGCTGTCATTGACTAGTTCGACTGAATAAATACCTAAAGAAAGGGAAAAAAAATGAATGGTTTATTTCATCCGTTGTAAAATTGAGAACCGCAGTAATGG